AGGGGGTGGTCCATGTGAAAATTGACAACTAAATGACTCTCTTAACTATGAAACGAGGACAAGTGAATTTAATTTGATACCTGATAGCCTACTTACAATTAGTCGCGAGGCTTCTTGACGGAGATTCCGTACCCTTCTTTCCAAACCCTACTCCTGCATCCGATGCACAGTAGTCCAAAAGGACAACAACGTCGTCATTGCGAAGAGCAGACTTCCCAGTCCTCTAGCAAAACTCTTTATTCCATTCAATCTAGTATATGCCACTAATGACAAATCGTTCTATGTTCTACCACATAAAGTAAATACCCTTGAAATTAATCAAAATGTGATCATCTCTTCGATAGCTTTGAAAGGCATTCACAAGAAAAAACATTTGAAACGATCTGTCAATATGAACCGATTCAGAAAAGTATGAAAAATAAGTGCGAGGAGCAATCCTGAGCAGTAGGCAACTATTTATGTACACATCAAGGCGAAAAAATATTAAAATTTTTAGGTAGATGATTCCAAAATTCAATCGTTATTTTGAATAAGTGAAACACGAGAGGAAGTGGATGCCTGTACAAAGTAAACAATCATGATATAATGACCGCTGGAATTTGTTGACGGGGTGTTTGGAGTCGTTCAATAGGCGATTGTGTAGACACCTCGTCGACTTTTGCTCGATGAAGGTGTACCCAAGGTGTGACTGAAACACATAGTCGGGATTCTAGGCAAAAATGGAAAAAAGATCAGAGCGGATCAGATCAGTTTTCTTGATTTTGAATACTACTGTGAAGTAAATAACAAGTTCACCCTTTTGTTTGCTTTCTGGAAGTCTCCTTCACCACCTTTTTTCGTCTACCTCCCCTTAACAACCGAGCCCTTTATAGCGTCCACAGGTCCTCGCAATTCCTGTGGAAGCTACAACAGGGATCTAAAAGCCGTACTGTGAGGCCCCATCCAGCCAGTACATAGAACTCACTTTTGGATACTCCTCGTCTAGGGAGGAAAAGCGGGTTTTGTAGAGAGTCAGTGTTGCTCATTCCCTATATGCCTTTTCTATAAAACATTATATGGAACCTGTGAAATACGCGAATTCGCACTATAGCGAGCTGCCACAGTGCATTTGCAATTTGTCTTGTCAACTTATACTTTCTCATCTTCACAATTGGGTTACCTTACTGTTGACCACGCTATGTAGCTGCTAACGGGAGGATATTCAATAAGTCATCATTGGGAATTCTTGTAGTGCAATTTTGTGCTTACCATGTTGCATACACCTCGCTCCAGGATCGCCCTGACATTGTCGACCACCCCATGAATAGTTGCCAAGCTTTGCATCGCACTTTGGACAACAGATCTAAACATGGAATCGGAAAATTCATGTTGCAAACATTGAGTCATGGAGGACTGAATTATTTGAGATAGGACTTAATCCCACTGGTATCCTCCCAGTTGTGTGGAACACATCTCGCCCAGAAAAAGCGATTTCCCTCCCGCATCCCTGGCAAATGCACTTAAAACTGCCAAGCCAATGAATACTCTCGAAAGAAAAGCTCTAGCCATAAGATCTAGTCACGAAAGCCTAAACAGGTGCAGGTATGCACACCAGGTGGTCACCGCAAATCGTAAATGCGCCACATATTTATTCAAAACGCCAGTGCGATGCTGATTGGAAATCGAATGTGGGAACCCATCCTTTCGGTGGAACTGATCAAAAAGCTTCACCTTTATCAGTGCTTCGTTCGTAACGTATCAGCTTTTCTACAAAATTGCATGCTGTTTCATTCCAATTCAGAGTGGATTTGAGAACACAAAAAAAGAAGTTCAGCCAAACGCCCTTGGTTGGAACTAATTTTTTTATCATGAGTTTCCATGAATTTGAAGTAATTTTACTTGGGACATATGGCATGACTTATGGTGAAAACCAATAAAGAGAGAAAGATCATTATCACTTCTTTCAAGGAAGCGGTGGGCATTCGGGAATGATAGCAAATGAATTCTAGAAGGTAGCCTTTACTCCAAGTTGTCTGCTAATCATTTCTTCAGTTTTCGGCTGTGTTGGATAAGGCAAATGCCCTATAGACCAACAATGTTCTTAACAAAGCTTTGTAAGCTTTACGAGTTTCCATCATTAATTTTCATCAATTCCTGCTTAGCATGGAAGACATTCAACAGAACCAGAGAAGATTCCGGAAATCGTACAGATCTCAACAGTGGAACTCACCTTTCCCTCGTATTCCGACACATTCATCCATTTCATTGGTTCGATAAGATAGCCAAACTCGCACACCTGTAGTGTTAGATAAGATTAGAACTACGAACTGTTACTAATCCCTGCGAAAACTCTAGTTTACTGATAATTCCACCCAATCAACAAAAGCTTTTTCCTAAACCTTTTACACGAGCAAAAGTATCAGATTTACATAACTTTAAGAGTCCTCACCTCGCCATCAATACGTTTATGTTTCGTCAGATGCTCGCCAAAGAATAGAATATGACGGCACTTCCCGCATCTTAAAGTATTTGCATTTGAAGGGGAAAAATAGACACCATAAGTAGCATCATGAAAGACGTCAATGCAATACTTGATGACATGAAGCGATGTTGCTAGTTAGTAATGCTAAACATATAATTATTACCAGGCCTAAAAAGCATCGACAGATGTGAAATATTGTTCTAAACATGAATAATGCTTTCTTATTTGGACGATGTTGATCAGAAACCAAAGAAATGAACCCAGATACATGGCTGTTTAGAGCCAAAAATCACGCCTGCTGTCGCCCAGTCGATCTCACTAGTTCATTTGGGAAATCACTCCCCAACAAGTAATCACTTAGTGTTTGGGGAGGGCCATAAAACACAAAATGTGAGATAGAAATCCACAAATTATGGGAGGTATCGTATGAAAAGAGTAGATGCCCAAGAAATTAATTAATCGGAATATGGAAGCAAGGACTGTTCGCACATGAAAAAGAGATAGTGATAAGTGGTCAGCCTCATGACATATTGGATTACATAAATAATACATTTCCACACGAGGTTGAAA